ACACATAGACTGGAATAACATAGATGTAATAGATAAAACAATTGATCCCTGAGTTCCATGAACTATACATCCATATAGAAATAYTCTTCTTTCTACAAAATAACAATTAAAGTCTATCCAAAGACTGCATCACATTGATTTTTGGAGGAGGTATGTATGCACAAATTAATCTGGTAACTTATTGATATTTTTTGTTTTCAGATAATATCAGTATATTTTTTTACACTCTTCATTATTTCAATTTCTCTCCTTTGTTTTTCCRGCAGTAATCTGTATATGACCTGTTTTGTTGTTGGTTAGGGATTTTTTGTTAGTTAGCTTTTCCCYCCTCCTAGCAGGGACTTGTTTGCAGGAAATCTTTTCACTTTCATCCTAACCAGAGATTCCTTAAAGGTTTCCCCTGAGTTCTCTSCAACCATGTTCTCTCTCATTTTCAAGAAGCTTCATCCGTATTTTGTACAGTATTATTCAGATTTTGTCCCCATTTAATTTTACAACCAAACACTTTACAAACACTTTTAAATGAAGAGCCCCTGGGACCTTGTAGAGTAAATTGGACATTTATATTATGCTATGACATTAGTAGATTATGATCTTTCCCCCTTCACTTAGATTTCTTTAATAAAATTATCCTGTTAGATACAATAAATAATAATATATTTCTTGCTGCTTATTGCTGTAGGCAATCAAAACATATCCACAAAGGCTGAGGTGTCTACTGTTCAAGAGTAATTACATTGGTTTTAAGAAAATAGAGTAGGGCAACTAAGGTTTTCATTGGATCACCTGAAAAAGTGAATTATTTCAGTGGAGGGACATCAGCAGCTCAGCTCCTGTTCATTTCTCTCCTGTATTTCATGCAGTGGAGATAGTGTTTTCTTTAAAGCATTTCTGAAACATGAGTGGCAGAAATACTTGTGAGAATTGTGATACTGATTATGCAGCTCCTCTGCATAATTCCTTCTATTATTTAGTTTAGCTATAGTAGAAGTGGCAAGACAGCATGTATCCCTCTCTAAAAAATATTTTTCTGGACAAATTGTTTCAGCGGAAAGGGGAAATCCCAAGAAGGATTAGCAAGCCTCTAATATATACAAAATATGATGGTTAGATGATGAGGATAATGAATAATGTTGTGTGTTATTTAGTCTATTATTTATGAGATAATAATGCTTCTGTTTTAATGAGAATGCCACTCAATTGAGAAGTTGCTTGTGGGAAATTATTTGCCCTGCTATCAGGTGACTAAATCTGATGACAGCCTGCATTGGCTTTGGGGAGTAATTTTTAATCTGTTATTCAACTTTAATAGTCCCAGTGGAAATTTCAAACCCATYTCTTGCCATTGGTCCTCCCCTATTAACTTCCTGAATGATAAGGAGTAAAAAAACACTAATAAACAAAAAATTAATTAACKTATTTTCTATCTTGGTTTGTCCTGTAGGAAGAATCCTGAGACTGGTTTTTATACCATTGGTAATGCTGACATCCTGCAGGGCTGAGTGTACTTAGTGATCACACAGAGATCATTTAATCAGTTGCTGAAGAAGTGAATGTATTTTCTTGATTCACTTCTGTTGGTTCTACCTTCACAGACTTATTTTTATGTCCTCTGATACTTCTCCTCTGTAGAGATACCAATCAGAAAATTAGTCTTGAAAGTGTTCATTTTTGTTATCTCTTTTTTTCTCTTGATTATTACGTGGTTTTGTTCATGTTTCTTTATCTGATCCTCTCAGTGAATAAGAACAGAATGACTTTGCCTTCTTTCTGATAACCTTTTAGGAACACACCTGTTTTCCTACTGGTTTTATTTTTTCTATCTATGTCATACCTACAGGACTTCAGGCCTTTTTTCCTTTTAGTAATYCCTCTTCAATTGATTCCACATTTTAGTTTCCCATGTTTTTGTCATCCTTCTGTGTCTAATTCTTCTAATTAGGACCAGGTTTTGCTCCCTTAATCAAGATTGCAGAAAGAGAAAAAGGCCTTCTGACATGAAAAAAGGTGTTAAACAATCCTCTAACTGTGTTATTAGAAGCATTTTAGGAAAGCTGTGCTGAGAACCTTTGAATTTATACTTTGTCCACTTGCAAACATGAACTCTTTTCCAAGTTCATACTGTATGATTAGGAAACCATCAAAGAAGGGTAGAGAATTTGCTAACATAGTATATGGCCTTCTGCAAGTAAAATAACTGTAAAGTTTTGTCTGGTTTTGTCCTTTAATAATTGTGAAAAGGATACTGTATARATTAGCATTTCTGAAGAACGTCCCCAAAGAAATCTTTCTTGCTTTATCAAGAAATGTGGAGGAATGCCAGGGAAAAGATTAGAGGAGTTCCTCCATGGGAGGTACTTTRCATGCTGATGCATCTTTCTCTTTGTAGATTGTTTGTTTTACTGTTGCTTTATCATTTGTCATCCTCAGGAGGAAGACTTGCACACGAGTCTGTGAGAGACTTGGCTAAGTGGCAGTAACTCTCAAATTTTCTGTGCTACAGTTCCATTTTCTAATGAAAGCACAGCAATTGCAGCTTCTACACTGTTGATGAGCTGCCCTGTGGCCCATCAGACACTTGTGGCTGGGCAGTGGGAATGCAGATCCATGACATTGAATCTGTTTGGTCTCCATCAGCAGCCTGGGGTAGGAACTGGAACCAGTTATTCGCTGGTCTGTAGCTATTTGCCCTTTCCTCCATTCTCTGTTTTGTCTATCAGGTGAGAACAGGCATATTCATGATAAGCTAAATGTCATCAGGCTGGATCCAGGGGAGGGCAGTCATTACAGACATGGATCAGAGGCACTGTGTTATGTTGCTTAAACTAATTGGTTTTCTCCCTCCTGTTAAAATCTCTCTTACTTCAATAAATTGGCCTGGCTCACAGAAAGAGTAGAGAAATACCCTCATTATATCAAATTATTTGTCAATTTGTTTAGTACTGGAACCCTGAACCTGCTTAAAGAGACCCTCCAGACCATCTCTGGATGAGAGATGAGATCATCCATGAGAGATGAGACCCTCCAGACCATCTCTGCAGGATGATGAGAGACCCACTGATGCACATTGCTAGCAGAGTGTGAGGAAAAGAAGTTACTGTTGTGTTGGATGTGATGTTCGCTCACCACACAGGAGCTTTACTCATGCTGATCTTGGAAAGCTTTAACACAAAGAAAGGTTCAGCCTATTTCCAATCTGAAAACTTGTCTGACCTTTCAGAGACCTTTTATGTGCACTGAACTCATGCAGTGAATCACTGAGTACACCTACAACCTACAGTGCTTCCAGGTTTCTCTTTGGGYTGCAGATATGAGGATGTGGAGATGAGAWATTCAGAACCTTGACAAAGCTGCCTCTCCTTCTGACAGTCTTGCAGATGATGTTTGTTTCTRTTTGKTTTCKGTTTGTGGCCTTCAGAAATAAACAATTAMGTTTATTTCCACTGTACATAAAGATAGGAATTGTGTGWTTATTWTTTTTTAGRCATTGATTGTCCATCAGTGTTTCAAACTATGGAATTTGTTGGTGTGACCACACTAGGAGCTGTGGACTCAACCTGAGCTCTGTCCTGCAGATGCCTGGATGAGAACACAAGGTACATTAGAGTAGATCAGTTCCTAACTAATGTTTTTCTGCTTGCTTCTGTAGAGTGACACAGAAATGGAATTAATGAAAACCAAACTTCTTGTTAGTTGCAAGAACCCAGAGGAATATGCGTCAATCTGTGTAAAGAAGTGCCATCTACAGCCTATCTTAGGCAAACTGTTTCCTGATAATTAAGGTTAGTAAATAAGTCTTTTATTTTCCACTGAAATACACAGCAGGGAAGGTCAGAACTAATGGGAAATTTGGATGCTCAGCAGCTTCCAGGGTTAATTTTTTCTCTGTTGGATTTAAAGCTAACATTTCACAGTCGTGTAGGACAAACTGAAGAATGTGTTTTGGGAGAGGTGCCTAAACTATCAGAGGACAGCACTRTTTTATAAGAGTATAGGTACTCGAACAATAGAGAGATTAAATTTTATTCTTATAAGTAATCTCTCTGTATTACAGCTTCTTTGTTGCATTTTATTAGCCAGAATTACCACAGGGTAGTTTACCTAGGAAGAAATGGTTGCCAATGAACAGTGCCAGACCTCAATTTCATCTCTGAGGAAATAACACCTGCAAGATCAGTCAGACCTCCTGTGCTTCCTATGTCCTGGACTGCTTGTTCTACTCAGTGTAACTTCAGGGTCATATTTTACACCCAAAAGGTTGTAAATGAATAATGATTCCTTGGTATCAAGCAGGGAATAGGACTCAGATATCCTCAGAGCCCAGAAATGTGTCTGGCACCTCTGTCTATTGTTCTAAATATCCTGGGTTTCTCTGACCTCTTCTAGCTCAAACAGAGGCTCAAGGGTATCATTTGGGGAAGGTTCTTTACTCAGAGCTGTGAGGATCTGTCTAACACCAGTGTGTTCCCCATCTTTGTGACCACTTGCTTTGCTTAGCTTAATTCTSAAGTCAGAGGAGCAATTAAGGGAGAGCAGCCCCAAGCTCTGATGAACTTTGAACTTACTCAAATATGAAGCTGATTAGCTGCAATAGAGAGAGCCAACACCATGGTCTAAACAGCCAGAAATTCAGCCCAGTAAGCTCTGAGATCCAGGTGTTGTGTTCATGTGCATCTTTACCTGTACCATGTGAGAGATGGGTTCAAGCTGTCTCCAAACAGCCCTTCCCAGAAACRCAGGGCTGTTTCTCCATTGAGTAATGCTGCAGCGTTGAGATGACACAGAGGGTGTCCCAGATCCTGGACCCCTGGGGTTTCCCCAGGTGTCACATCACTCCTCACAGATAATTGCTTACCATCATCATCTGAAAGAACTACATCTTCCATGACTAGATTTACAGGTACAACCACTTAAAAAAAAAAAAAAAAAAAGTATTCACCCACAGCGAGGTAAATATGCAGGTTTATTGCAGCCAAGCCACTCCTTTCCGTGTCATTCCTTCTCAGACATCTGCTCGTGGATGTTAAAACCCCGAGCACCTTTGGCAGGGACACTGAACTCTGAAACCTGCAGCACCTTGAAARGAGGAGCACTATTTGGGAAGGAGTTTTTGTCCCAGGAAAAGCAGCAACTTCAACCCGTGTCCCATGGGAGACAAGTGAATCTGAAGTTATATATTATATAAGAAGTAGGGGATGACAGCAGTTTATCATTAACCTGAACTCTGCAAGAAGCACATAAGGAGAGAAAGAAGAAGAAAGCCAGAGAAGCAGCCAGGATGGAAACCATCATAAGGATCAACAATCCTGCGGATATCTCTGTTATTGTCATCTATTTTTTGGTAGTTCTGGCAGTGGGACTATGGGTACGTTGAGATTTTATTTTGTTTTATTTAATGAGCAGATCAATTATAGTCTCGACAAAATTGCTCAGTAAGCGAGAACGTGTAATTGTGCAAAGATTTTGATGCTTAATTGAGATAATTAACAAGTGCACGGTGGGCAAAATGTGGGCACTTATTTACTCTAGAGGGGATGATRACCCAGGGGGCATCCCTTGAATGGAACTGGTGGGAAAGGTGTAGTAATGAGGTTTGTGTGAGAAAGAGCCGAGGGATGTGATCAGTAAAGATCAGCCGGGGTCCCTGTTAGGAACAGGCTGGACCTGATTTGGCYGCGGAGCACTGGGACTGCAGGGACAATTGGCAGGGTGAGGTGATACCATAGGAGACAGTGGGGAGGGGGAGTTGCAGGGGTGGGCAGGGAGGTGACACCGTGTTCGGGGTGGTGACACCGTGTGCGGGGTGGTGACACCGTGTTCGGGGTGGTGACACCGTGTGCGGGGTGGTGACACCGTGTGCGGGATGGTGACACCGTGTGCGGGATGGTCACACCGTGTGCAGGGTTTTGTGGCGGGATGGTCACACCGTGTGCGGGATGGTCACACCGTGTGCAGGGTTTTGTGGCGGGATGGTCACACCGTGTGCAGGGTTTTGTGGCGGGATGGTCACACCGTGTGCAGGGTTTTGTGGCGGGGTGGCGTTGCTGCCGCCACCGGGGCTGTGACGGTGCCAGGGACGGGACGGCACATCCGCCCGGCCGGGGCTGCGGGTGCCGGCTGAGGGCAGCATTGCCGGGGCTGTTTCTCCACTCCGGGGTGCGGAGCCACTGGAACYGCGGGGCAGGAACAGCTCCGGGGCACAACTCCGGCAGCGCCTTCGTGCTCGGGCTCCGAGCGCCGCGGTGCCCTCGGGAGGGCGAGGGGACAAAGGGACACAAAGCAGCGGGGGGACCCCAGGGGAGAAAGGCAGCGCCCAGCCCAGCGGTGGGACTCAGAGCCGGGACTCAGTGGGACTCAGAGCTGGCGTTTGGGGAGAATGGGCCGATACCTGCGCTGCAATGGTGTGAACAGTGGAACCTCACTGAATTTGGGTTTCCCTGGGGCAAGATCTCCTGTCACCTGAACAGCTGACCATTAACCAGACCAGAGGAGGTATTGCCTTCAGGAATCCTCTGCTTTCCAGGAGCATCCCAGGAACATTTCATGGTGCAGAAAAATCAGCTGCTGAACAAAACTCCCTTTCTAACAGCCTGTCGATGTTCTGGAGCAACAAAAATTTAGGGTTTGCACGAAGTAGACAGTCTTGTCTTTGCCTCTTCAGCATAAGAGTAGAGGCCAAAAACATAGCAAAAAACCTGAAGCCCCAGTCCACCAGAACACCTTGTTGTCTGCAGAAGGTAGCTGGGTCTTTGCCATGAAWGTGTGGCTGTTGCTGTAGTTGAACTTTATATTAAAGACCTCTGACAATGAAGGGCTGTTCTGTGGCTTCTCAGGCCWTTGTGTGCTGAGTTAATTCCTGGAACCGTTTCTTTCCAGCCATGATGACATCGTTATTGGACAAATACTTATTCAGTTGCTGTGTGTACTTAAATATAAATCTATCATATTTACTTCCTTTCTTCTGCATCAGAAGAAAATACATGGCTAATTTTCCCAGGTCTTCTTTCTTTATTTACCTGTTCAAAGTCCATCAAAGAAGACAATGGGAATCCAGTAAATAATGGTTCAGGGTCATTAACAAAAATTGGAGGAAGCTTCCCTCTAAAGCCTATCCCTTGACAAAGATAAAATGAAATGGAAATTTTAGCTGGCTTCTTTTGGAACTTCAGTGGGAATCAGGCACAATGCTGATATCACAACAAGAAAACAGATACCTGCGGGGGCAGGGTGGTATTGAGTAAAAAAGCTGCATAGTTTCTCTTAATAAACTTGCACCTTATAGTCTTTTTTGGTACCTGAATTCAAAGACTTTTCACCCTAATAAAAAATTCAAGTGAGCTTTTATTTGAGTGATATTTTTCCTTGGTTAAATTTAATTTTGTTTCAGTGCTTCACACTATAGTGAAAGGCGAAGTAATGAAGCTTGAATGGTTAATGCAGACCTAGACAAAAGAATCATTGCTCAGTTGTATTATTTTCTTCATCTTAAGGTTGTTGTTTTTAGTCACTTTATTTCTTTTATTTTACCCTGTCTGTGTATTTTATTATGCCTTCATTTAGCTGTTTGTTCTTAGCCTGTATAGCTTTGCCTAGTCCATTTAAAATATGATTAAAAGTTCCTCTCTTCCTTTTTTCCAGGCTATGTACTCAACCAACCGAGGCACAGTGGGAGGGTTTTTCCTGGCTGGACGCAGCATGGTTTGGTGGCCGGTGAGTGCTGAGTTGTGTGTGTGTAAAACACAGGAGGAGCATCTGCACCCCTGGGACTGCCCAGTCCTCAGATATCAGGATCTCCATGATGTTTTTATTGTGTAGCTCCAAACCCAGCTCTGTCTCTAGCCATGGTGTCACAGGGCAAACTGCACAAACAGGGCACTGSATGGGTAGGAAAAAGTGTTGGGGGAAGTTGTCTGTCTTCAGCTCTGTCTTGATTATGTGATCAAATTGTCTGAACATAAATACAGTGGTAATGTCAGTACAGATAAATCCAGTGCTTTTTCTTTCATCCCACGTTAAAACTTTATAATATTTTGAAYCTATTCTTTTCATTGCACTCAAAGAACCTTGCTCATTTTGAGGTTATCACAGGAATTAATTTGCTGAAATTTTCCCCTTCATTGCCCTATTAGTTCTACTTTTAGTAGCAAGTTCTGGTCTGCACAAGGAGAAAATCCTGGAAATGCTCTGATATGTTACTGGCAAAATATATTTGAAATATATTTGGAGAGTATCTGTGGCTTATTGCTTGTCTTCTGTGGATCTGTGTTACCTTCCAAGGTAGAGAACAGGAGCCACAGACACAAAACATTCCTAGCCACACATAAGGCTTGGGCAGAAATGATACTGGAAACAATTATCTATTTGTAACAGACCATGCAGGCTCTTTAATATGAAAAGCAGAAAACTTAGACAAACCTGATTTTCTGTATGAACCCTGTTGTACATGATTCCATTTGTTTGAATGGAATTCCTTGACATTCCTGGTCTTGTATTCAGTCTCATAAAATGGTTTTGCATTTCATTAGGGTTTGTGAGCCAAGACTCCACACACATTGATTCATTACAGGACCAGAAGGGTGAGAGTAAATATTGGTTGCCTAAAGATTTAGGAACTTTCTTGAAGTAGGCTGCAGAAATACCWGCACACCCTTCAGTCCTGTGCTTCAGAGAGCTGCTCTCTGCCTTTAGAAGGCATTAGAACAGCCTYTTAAAGGATTAAAGGCCAACAACAGTAAAAGGTTTCCTCATCTGATGTAGTAGATCTAAAATTCAGGTTCCATTGGAAGATCAAGAAAAGGGAAAATTTCCAAGCTATTTTAAGATAAAACCCATAATTCTAGGACAAGAGAAAACCCAACAGATTACTTTGCTTAACTGCCACTTTAATCAGTGAGCTGGTTTTGACCTTGTGCAATTCTGTCGGTCTGTCGCTGGCAATATGAATATCCTTTTGTGCAGATGTAAGTGGAGGTGCAGTGAGGCTGCAAAGTCTCACCATAGAAAACTTCTGTCTTAGGCACTGAGAACCCCTAATGGCTCCTCTGAGACTTGGGGGAGAGGATCTGACACCAAGTGCTCTGCCAGCACAGACCAAACAGACTGAGCAGGCTCCTTTCCTCCAGTGGGAAGCTGACAGGGATCACCCCTGACAGTTCCTGCCAGGATCACCTCTCCCCTTCCCAAACTCGGTGAGCTCAGCCTGGACAAAGTGCTAGTCCTCACTGGAGTCCTAGATCTCCCCTTCAGACCTTCCTTTTGGAATGCCAGGAGTGGCTTCCCATGCCATAAACATAAACCCTTCTTGCTATTCTTCCTGGTATCACTCAAAATAAACAAAGAGCAAGCACTCCAAAACTMCAAACTAAATACCATGTCAGCAGCATCACCCTGGAAAGTTTGCCTTGGATAGAAAGAGATTCCAAAACACCAATTCCCACAGCTTAGCAGGTAGATGGGATGTCCATCACCTGTGCAAACTGGGMTGAAATGATGAGGAAACCAATGAAAGTATAGAAAGTTTAGTCAGAGATGTGATCTCAGTTCTGCAATAGCTAAAGCTGTGTGTGGTGTTTTACTTTTGTGCTTTGACTCCTCTTTTGCTCCAAGTCAGGGCTAAGCTGGACTAAGGAATGGCTCTGGATAACCCCCCTGCATTTCCACAGTCAGGGTGGGGGCAGTTGTTTTGCAAGTGGACTCTTGTTTATCAGATTTCTCCCCTGCCATTTCAGGATGATGACCCTTGTCATGTAATTGCTTTCTGGAACAGAGAAMAATGAAGGAAAAAATCCTTCCACAAGCTTGTTATAGACTTAATTCCCTTAAACTAATGGTAATTTTTTGTGGTTATCTCTGTTCTATGTTCTGCACAAGTGGCTTTTCTGACTCCACAAGGAAAGAGGCTCATTAGCAGTGTATTAGCATCTCTTACTGACAAACTGGGAAAGGCACTCTGTTCACCCAAACCATATAGTAGCTGTGGTTTGGCAGACCAGAGGAGACCCTGGCAATGAAGGGCAATTCCCACTTTTAATATGGATTTTGAATTTTTGTCAGTCACTGGGCAGCTGTGATTATGATTCAATTTCTCAGTGTATAAAGTAGGACCAAGACACATCCTGGGCCAACTGTCCTGCTTTGGCTCTGATTGTTCTGCTCCAGCAGAATCCAAGAACGTTGTTTAGTATCTTGCAGAAGCAAGTCCAGAGATGATTTTCTGGCTGTTCTTTGAGGTCAGAGGTCACTTCCTTGTTAGTTCTCTGCAATCACTGCCCTTGTGAAGTGGAGGAGCCAACTCATAGTTCCAGTAATTAATTAGAGATAAAGGTATATAAGTACATTCTCACAGCTTACCACAAATTGAAATCTAATTGGTTAATCATAATGGTATGAAATGCTGTGCCCTTTCCACAGTCTTTTTACAGAAACTCAGAGAAGAATCTTCAAGAAGCTGGTTTTGATCTCTCAGGCTTTGAGAGAAATATCTTCAGGAAAGACTCATATGGCTCTTTAAATCCTCATAATCAGCTCTGCTTTGTCTAAAAAGACAGACAAGTTCAAGGCAAGTGACAGCTCTGTAGCAATGGGCCTTGCCARCTTCAGCTTCCTTTGCCAGATGAAGGAGTTGGGTTCAGCCAAAAACTTCCTGCCACTGTAGGAAATGAAGTCAGCTTTGGTAGCAGTCTCTGTCACAGGATTAACTGCCTTTCATGTGCAATTTAAAAACCCAAACCCTCCCTTTTGAAATTTTCCTGCTTTTGAATTTTCCTCTTCAGGTTCTGTGGTTTTGCATACAGAACTGACTGCACAAAATTATGGGTTATCTTCTATACCTCAGCTCCTGAGGCATGAAGGATAATAGGACAAAGAGTATCTGCTGCACATCTGAAGGCCAGCTATGTTAGAAAGATTTACTGAACAGTTGGCAGGAAGGATGCAGGGTCAAGGGCACTCCAAACAGAAATGTAACTCAGCTCGTTTGTTGTCACGTACATTTAGATCTTTGTGAGACAGATAAGAATTAGGGGAAAAAAAACCCCAATAGATTCTGGCTTCAGTTGTGTACAGCTTATCTTCGTGGCCATCAGAACTGACCACATGATTTCTCTGATCTTTGCTGCCAGTTAAGCTTTACATATTTTCAGAATTTTCCACACTTGCTGAATCTGACTCTACTATGAGGAACCAGGAGTGACAATTSTGCTGTGAATAAGATTTGCATTTCCTTTTCTTGGGTAAAGGAGAATGAGAAATTACCTTATTTTGTYAAGTTCCATTAAAAAAAAWWAAWWAAAAAARGGTAAGTCAATAGTTTTCAGGGTAAAAAGAATAATAAAGYAATCAAAGCAAAGCTCCAGTAGAAAAGACATTGATTTCTACAGAATCCATCAGAATTTCCAGCTGGCTGGGAGGTGCTGTTTCTGTCTCAGAGCACAGAGTGGGGAGGTCTCAGATCTGCCTCCTGTGCTGTGCTCTTACAGCAGCCATCGGGTTTGTTGGAGCACAGACATTTTTGATGAGTATTGTGTATCCATCCYTCCTGCTTAGTGAACTGGGAATTGTGTAGATGAGGTTTAGGTGGGTTATAATGCAATTCATAGAATTTTCAGATTAACTGGRAAAGCAGAATAAAACCTCACMCTTCCTTCTCTGGGTCTCRGAGCCTGGGGARTGTGGCAGTAATATTGTATTGTGCWGATTTTTCCAAAGTGGTTAAGGGTGATCCCAAAAACTCAGGTRGGAAAATAGGATGCCTTTGCATCAGAGTGAAGTTACATGTTGCAGGGAAGAGCTGTGAGTTAAAGAAAAGCATGAACAGTCTCAAGGAGTAGTTCTSCATCCAGGGAATGGGGATTTGAGAAGCAGCTTGTGCAGGTGACCCACAAAGAGCTCAGGACCCTGTGCTGTGAGAGGAGCCCCTGCTGTTCCCACTCTGGGAATGGGGCCCAGGCTGTGCTGGGGATCCTTTGGGTTTGGTCCTGAGCTAAGGCTTTCAACAGGAGGGTGGGCATGGGGCAGAGGGGATGTGTGGCAGGTCCTGGCAGGGACAGGAGGCACAGGCTGTGCATTCTGCTCMCTGTCACTGCACCTGCCACTGGCCCTCACAGGCATCCCATCCTCTGGAATGGCTGTGGCCAGGATGTCCRTGCATCCTCCAGTTAATGAGAAGARCAAGGTGAAACAGTTAATGAATAACAGGAGAAAACACAGTGACCGTCATCTGCTTCAGGGTGGGGGGACTTCTGCTGAACAGAGTGCTCTTGTTAAGACCTGACCTCTTAAAATCTTTTAAAAGAGTTAATGTTCCACGTTTGCCTCAGGTTAGTTCAGGTTTTTCATCCTCTTTCCCTCTTAGCAGCTTTGTCCCTTTCAACCAACTTTCTTCTTTACTTTTCCTCCTGGATCTGTCTTTAAAATCAAGGCACTCACATTTTCACTGAAAAGAGTTAACACTTCCAGAAGATCATTTCCCTCTGCCATTCCCAGTTTCAGCCCAGAGTTCTGTAGATGCACAGCAGCATCTACTAATGGCAAATCAAGAATTCCAGTAATCAGCCCTTCCAGCACAAAAATACCACCAGCAGGAAGTTCTTCAGCGAGACAGCTTGGGCCCAGAGCCCACCTGTCTTCTTCTCTCATCTTTAAAATATGACAGATGGGAAATTTCTCTGTCTCCTCTGGCATCAGCAGCTAACGGGTGGGAGGGTATTTGGTCAGCACTCCTCTTGCTGTGACCGTGCTGCAATTTTAAGGTGATCTGCATTTTTCTGGCTATGAAGCCACGTTCTCCCTTCCCATGTATACATAAATGAAAAYCATTTTTGGAATTGCATCCATTATTAGTATGTGTTGATCTTAGAGTTCTGCTGCACTGGATGTTCCCTAATTCAGAGAAAAAAAATATAGGAAGTGGAGGTGGGACCTGMATTCACATTGTTTTGTCCTTGTGCTGATCCTAAATGTGTTGGTGATTTTGCATTGGTTTGGTTTGGTTTTGTATTTTTTCTACAATTGTATTTTGGATAAAGCTGGGAAAACATCATCAGTGTGTCCTTCTAGCATGTCCTGGGGCATCAGGCACCGAGGCAAAGCTTGTGCCTGTCAGTTCTCAGTCTTTCAGTAGCTGCCTTTACTACTTGGGTCTGCCTTTATGCTTTCGGAACRGGAGAGGGAACACATTAAATAAAATCAGAGATTAATGTGGTTAATATTTTCTGGTGGTTGCATTTCTAGTAACCTAGATGTAAGTTTAATTATTTATCTCCAGGGAAAGCACTGGACAACAGTGCTAATGCTTGGTATAAGTGGTATTTGTTTCTTCACTATCTTTTCKGGGAAAATTTGCTGTCACAAAGAGGTTAGAAGAAACAGAGGTCTCTTGTTTGCCAATGTTGGTTGCAACACTTATMATTTCTGTAGAAATATGTCATGTGACAAACTGGTTACAATTCTTTAGGGCACAACTGGCTTAGAAACATGTGAAAAACCCCAAATCCAGAACTGAGTGAAYTTAGAGACATCAATTTCCTGTCACAACAAAAGCACAGTTTGTCTGCAAAAAACACTACAAGAAATCAGGAGATCAAACTGAGGAAASAGAAAAAAAKTAAACCTGGAAAAGAAAGAGTGGAATCCTCTGAATTTTATTGTTATGTTGCAAATAAAAAATGGGAGAGGATAATCTGTGTTATCAGAGATCAGGACTGTGAGCTGAAGAGCATGGTTGCTATTTCAGGCTATGGCATAGCTCTGTACAATAAATCTGCTCCTCAGAAGTAGATTTCTATGATGAAATCCTTCATCCTACTGAAACTCAAGTAATTGCCCCTTGCTCCCAGAAACATTGATTGAATAYTTGCTGCTCTTCAAATCAGTTGGACTCAATGATCCTTGTGGGTCCCTTCCAATTCAGGATATTCCATRATTCAAATGAGAGCATTAGAAGCYGATCAGCAGAGATTCTCTKGCCTGGTTTCTATGTGGTTTTCTTTTTAATCTTGTTACCTTTTTAGATTTTTTTTTTTAGCTTTCAGAGGACGTAAGAAAAAAAACAGAAATGAAGGAAAAATGTTCACTTGCATCTTTTCAGCTCAGAAGTGCTCCAGCTTCTGTGTCTTCTGCCCATAATACTCAATCCAACCTCTCCTTCATGCTTGGCCTCTCACCTTGCATCCCTCTGTACCTGACCCAGTAAATTATCACTGGGTCTGCCTTTTCTGCTGCCTTTAATGTGCTYATTTTGAAGAAATGAAGCTCATTCCTTTTCATCTTTTCTATTGTCTAAGGTACTGGATTAAGAATTAGATCTTTGTGAATGTCTCCTGCCTGCCTGTACACCAACAGGAACCTTTCATTTTTTAATCTCTCCGTGTTCACCAATTCCCATGTTCTCCCCACTGTTCCGTTTATGTGATCAGTGCATTTTTTTGGGTTCTTAGAGATCCAGCACTTCTTAAAAACAGCTCCATGATATGCTACTTTATGTGGCTTCCAGAAGTACTTTTTCAGGAGATATTTCTGCCATGCAGCATTTAGAATTTAATGCAGTAATCAAACACCTTTTGGCTAAAAGTGAACCAAGCCCAGCTCTCACCAATGAGAGATCCACAGGCTGTGCCATAATGAACARAGAGTGCAGGTTTGACAAGTGGGGATGTCCTTGTAATTTCCTCCTTGCACAAGGCAGATCACAGTCTTCTTCCCTGACTGTCTGGATACCATCCCAATATCAGTCTGGCAAGTTTTGCAAGTATTTTAAAATCTATATTGGTGTAATGTATTTTTTGACACAACTAGAAGATACTTTATTCAACATCATTCTCACCCTCACTGTTGAAGATATGATGGCTGGAGTCTGTGATTTCAGTGGGAACAATAAGTGGGAGTCCTGAAAATTATCAAGGAAGGAAATTATAAGGAAGTTTGTTGTCAGTCTGTCATCACCACCACCACCACAGAGAGGCATGAGTTCAATGTGCCAAATGGAGGTGATTTTTTAAAAATTACCACAAACATAAGAACGAATTTTTGTTTTTTGTCTTTGCAGATTGGTGCTTCTCTGTTTGCCAGCAACATTGGCAGTGGGCACTTTGTTGGAATAGCAGGAACAGCAGCAGCTGGAGGAATTGCCATTGGAGGATATGAATGGAATGTAAGTGACATATGTGTCAGTAATGTACTTGAGATATCTGGATTATCTGCAGAGCTTAATCGAAATAACACTGCAGAACAATTTAGGACTTTCAAAGTTAGTGCTTGACAATACTGTTTTCTGCCCAGACCTGTAAGAGCCAATGCCATCTACTATTTAACCTGTCCTCCCTGGACATTGCCCAAGCCACTGGAAAAAGATGACACTTTTCTGTTGAGGCTTTTTAGAGAGCACTTGAACAAATAAATTGGTGGAATCTCTTCTCTATGCCTATCTTTTGGTTGCTTCACAGGCTGTAAGGAATTTTGACCATCCCTCATGAGCACCTGCATTCCAAAACTCTTTTCCTCTTTATCTTTTCCTTCCTGTAATTAATTATGTATGTGTTTTGCCTATGGTTGCAGTACAGGGTAGACATAGCCATGCTGACTTTAAATGAACTTCCTGGAGTACCAGGAGTAAATTGCAGCAGCACAGACTCATGAACTMCCTCAGTCCATTTCCTTGTATTCTCAGGCTCTGTGGGTGTGATAACAATGTCCTTGTTCTGCCTAATTCACCTTCGGGGAAGGGATTAGAGCATGACACAAAGGCTTTAATGAGCCTCCACAGGTCGATACTTCCCTCACATTTACTTCTGAGCAGTGAAAGAATCATCCCACCCTGAGGGTTTTGGCTTGTGTTCCTTAGCGAGTAAATGGTTGTTGCAAATAATCAAGTACTGGTATGATATAAACGTTTAAGGAGAAGGACAAAGCCTAAAATGAACTGTATGAGATGTGCACAATTTATCCTTATTTTTGATTATATCAGGCCTGTGACAGACCTGATTCTGCYTCTTCTTCCAGCAAAACAAAGCAAACAAAACCAGAATACAAATCTCTAGGGCCCACATCCTTCTTCAGACATCTCTRACAGTTCATCTCCTGTGASATCCATGTGGATCAATATCAATGCACTGTGTACATTGATACAATTGAGACCCAGTACATTTGGGAATCATCCCCCCACCCCTGCAATGCCCAGGTTTTTGTGGTTTCACTGGTCTCTTGCTGCTGTTGGCTCTGCTTTGGGAGCAGTGTCTAGAGAGAAGAGGCTCATTCAGCTGATCTTGTCTTGTCTGCAGGCTCTGATATTTGTGGTGATTCTAGGATGGCTCTTTGTACCCATCTACGTCAAAGCTGGGGTAAGTCAAACCATGACATTACACTTGTCTCTGCTGCTCATGTTTGCAGATCAGGGCTGGAATATTGCAAAGTCATTATGGATGGCATGAGATCTGAGTGTGCCAGAACAGCACTGTGTTTTATCTGTGTACTTGAAARATGAGAATTCTCTGTTCTTGAGGATTCTCTGTTCTAAGACCTGAGCTGAGAAGTACTTGGTGCTCTCTCCTTGTTCTCCTTTGATTCCTGGAGCTGCTCTTCTTTGAAACTGTATTTGTAGCTCCCCTAATATTTTGCTCCACTCTCAGTATCGGAGTACCAAAAATCTTCCTCTAGTTTGATTTGTACCTGTTCTCCATTATCTAAAACCTTCTCCATCCCACAGGTGGTGACAATGCCAGAATATCTGAGGAAACGTTTTGGTGGGAAACGGATCCAGGTCTACCTGTCAGTCCTTTCCCTRATCCTGTATATTTTCACAAAGATCTCAGTAAGTGAAACTTCTACTGCATTTCTTCCATCCTACATTGGTCTAAAGAAAAGAAACCCCTTTTTATAATAGTGCTCACACAACTGGTCAAATGTTTCAGGTTCAGAGCCCTTGGTTGAATTAACAACTGTAAAAGTATGATTTTGTGTTTTCTTTATTCTGCCCAGTGACGCTGTATCCAGATCACTGCTGCTATCCAAGGTTTTTCTTCCTGGCAATGTCTCTTGGTGCTTGTTGTACTTTGTCTTTCTTTTTTAAGTTTTAGGGTTCACTTCCACTTTTGCTCTTTTGCTGTCCTCTAGAAAACATCAAAGGGAAGGAAAATTTGTGTTATCTTAGAGATCTGTGAAACCTGGGGCAGGAATTTTTGTCCCTAGATTTCATATTTATCTGTTTTAGTATCCTCTGGTGATCATGCCATCAGTAATACAGATGAGGGGAAAGAGCAAGAGGGCTATGGATAAAAAAAGAATACAGGAATTAGAAAATGAAAGATTGGGGAAAAGGAAATGAGGGAAATTGTAAYAGCTGAGGTGAAAGGAGGGAAGTGGAGAGATTCCTTTAATGGGCAATTGATTGGTGTAAACTTTAAGGTGCTGTGAAGTTAATGTTTATTAAGTAAATGGATGTGTTTCTGTGAAGTAGTAAAGGGAGCTGGTTATTTTCTGTATATCTTGAAACTACRAGGCTTCTAAAGAAGTCCACAGTTCATGCAAACCTCACTCCCTTGTTTTGCAGAAGTTGTTAGGGCAGATTACTCTTTGCCCTCTGAATGGGAGCTGAGTGATAATAGTGCAATTTAAGCTAAAAGACTGGCCTTCTGCTCTCATTCTCACATCATGATAACTGATCCTTAGAAAGGTTATAAATTAAACAGGTTGGTGGTGTGAGCTGGCCTCAGAGTGGATTTCTGTATATTTCAAAAGGATTTGACAGTTTGCTGTGGTTGTGCTCAGCTCTCATAATCAGAACTCCCAGGTACCATACGCAGTTCTGGGAGTTCCAGTCAGGTCACTCACAGATCTTTCCAGCAGCACATTTGTAGTGAGCCTATCAAGGTGCTGTGTAGGCTCTGAATTTACTATCCAGCTTTGATTTCCAGCCTGTGCCATGCCTAAGGATCTGATTATGGGATTTTACACCGTTTCTGTTGGACTGTCCTGTKTCCAGGAAAGGCAGGTTCTGCTTTTAAGTTTCCAGTGTTTTCATGAGGCTGAAACCCCCTCTCCATAGGGATCCATACAGCAGCAGCTTACCTGGGCCCCACTCCACCATTGGCCCATCCCAGCTTCCCATCAACCCATTKATTCCAGGTATTTTAGGGAAGTGCCATGGAGCTGAGTCTCTGTGGTGTGCAGGGTAAAATACGGTGCACAATTTCCTTTAAGCATTTCCTCTGTTTCCCTTCCCTGAGCAGCTCTGGYRGTRTCTGTGCCTATCCAAGTGAGRTTGCTGTGGTGTACAAACAGMTCTCTGCACTGCTGCAGAGTGTCACTGTGTTTGGATGGGCAGCATTGGCCCAGGACTCATTTGTTCTCTGTATCTGATTCAGAATAGGCAGAGCAGCCASTCCTTGGAGGTTTCAGAGGCTCTCACAGTAATTTTTGCTGTGCCATGCTGWGTGGCACCATGTGCTAATGGTGCCCAGAGGAGCAGCCCCAGCAGCAGGGAGGGAGGGAAGGGCTGTTCCCTGCTGGGCTGCAGTAACTGTGCCATGGGGAGAGGCACAAGCACAGGCACAGGCAGGTGGCACGGGCCTCCCTCCCCACAGACACGTTGTGTATCCAAACAYGTCCACGTGTACACAATCCATTGTGTTTTACTTCCCTGAGTGCTGCCTTGGTAAACACTCCCTTGTGATGTCTGAAGCTCTTTGAGATTCGATAGAGGATGGGTTTYTGCCCTGCCCTGTGGGAGGTCACACCCACCATTGTGACTGGCAGCCATTCCTCACTGCCCTTTATTCTTGCAGAAGAGTGGCATCTCTTGCTTCTGGGGYAGTTATTTCATGTGCTGCTTCCTTGATGTGTTGAAATATCAAGTAGTGTATTTAAAAATATAATTGTAACTGCTCTCTGATGAACAGTATCATGCTTCATGTCGTGTGACTCGTGCCGTGCTCTTTCTGGTACAGTGCCACCACCATGTGATGATCAGATYCCCTTTGCACACCTCTACAAGGTCCTTACCATTTCTCTTTCCCTGCACATTTCCTRTGGGTTTTGTTGATTTCTGATCTTGATTTGTGGCTAATCAGCCAATTCATCCTTGGGACCAGGACACACGTGATCTTTGAGCCAAAGGATTTCTGTCATACAGGGGTCTCACCTGTACCTGGTCCCTAGTGTGCAGCACATTGTGAGTAGAGCCCATAGCAGCTTGCAGGGGCTTTTTAGCCACTAGTGCTGATGATATTGGCCATTATGCCAGAAGAAATGATCTGGTAAAAATAAAATGTTGATGGACAGTAATAGACTAAGTTATGACAAGACAAAAGGGAATTAAGATCTGAATGTATCTGAAGAAATCAGAAATCATTAACTGGAACTTCTAAATTTGTTTCAGCATTTTCTTTCTGTTCATTGTACATAATTTCAGTAGGAAATATGTGGGCATAGACTTGCCAGGGGGAAGAGGAAGAGAAGGATAACCTCCTCCCAGGGCTGCAGAGTGCAGGGGTTAAAGAGGAGGTGCCCCTGCCCTGACTCTCACAGGATTCATGCAGCTGGCATGCATCTGGCCAGTGGTTCCTGCRTGATCTGTTCCTTTGCAGAGATAGCTTGTAACATAAAGGAAAGAGTCACTCTAATAAGAGATTAGATAAAGATTAAATAGTGTCTATAAAAGAGTATAAATGGAGAAACAAGGAAATATTGGAAGGCAATAATCTAACTGGGAAGGAGGAGCAGTGAAGTTGGAAGATAACTCAGCGATTTGAGATGCTCAATAATTAACTATACATTTCTTTCTGGAAATCATTTTAGGACCATTAATATTTAATGACATGTAGGCTAAACTAAAGCCAAGAAMAATAAAAGAAAGGTCTGGGACATAGACTGATTAGTGGTGTGAAGAGATAGGAAAAAAAATACCATAGAAAGATAGGGCAAGGGATATGGTCTGCCAGCCACTGGGGTAATAGCTAAAGGTCCTGGTTCCCAGTTTCAAACAGCAGTGTGCAATGTGGATGGAGGAGGGTGGGTGGGCTGCACAGGAGCCCATCAGCTGGGTGCTCAGGAGAAACCCCTAATAAAAGTGTAATTTACAATAATGCATCACAAGTGCACTGGGGCAGATTATTCTGATTGCAAACTTGTATAAATAACATTGATGCAAATTATCTCTAAATCAGGAACTGATTTAATGTGATTAACATTCCAGTGTTACTCTGAAACCTGAACAATTCCTTTCTTATGCAACAGCTAAAGGTCTCCTCTGTTAGCAAACAGCTGTCAGTTCTTCTACAGGAACTTAAAAACAGAAACAATAGAAGATGTTTGCCTTTAAAGCAAATGCACCTTTTGTCCTGAACCAGCAAGACGAGCTACACCACATGTGAGCAGTAAAGGGAAAGAGAATTGTGGAGCAGCATTGATGGAAGAGAGCTGTGCATGTCTTGGTGATGTGACACAGTCCAGCCCTGCACGCAGCAGCAAATGGAACTCACACTCGGTTTTAAGCAGTTTCTTTTGAATCTGTCTCTCACTGCCTAAGCATGCAGCAGTGAGGTGACTGTCCAGCAAAAATCCTGTTGAAAGAGGCCTGGAAATACTCTGAGAAGTGTTACACCTCTGCTAATCCAGAGAGCTCCACAGCTCTGAGGGGACACTGTCAGGTGCACAATGGCTTCTATTTTCTTTTTGATTTGTGTGTGCAGTGCTACAAGGGACAGAGTTTCAATGCCCTCATCATGGAAGTGTAGCATGTCATCATGAACCTAAACATTGCTGAATATATGATTTTTTTTCCTAGGCTGACATATTCTCTGGAGCTGTATTTATACAGCTGGCCATAGGGCTGAATCTTTATGTGGCCATCATTATCCTGCTTTCTATTACTGCTCTTTACACCATCACAGGTGAGTTTGCAGAGAAGTCCAATAAATCAAAGAAGCTGGGGGAGCCAGAAGAAAGAGAAGAGGGGAAGTGGAGAAAAAGGGAGAAATGAAAACCTGAAAGAGGGGTTATTTACAGTGGTCTTTGAATAACAGAGGTGGTGAGAAAAGGGGAAGAAAAAAGGAATTTCCACTGAGACATTTGCCCAGGGCTAACTTATTTGTCCTGACTTTTCTCTGCCATCAGGTGGTCTTGCAGCTGTGATTTACACAGACACYTTACAAACATTCATCATGGTAGTGGGATCCTTTATTCTCATGGGATTTGGTAAGTAAATCAGACAAATTAAACTGGAATGGTCAGCCACAAATCCTGCAGTGGCTATGGGAATGAACCTGCAGTGTGAAACTCTTACCTTAACCAGGAGTTTTCAGATCATGTATCTATTTATCAGGGAAGAAAACAGGCATGTTGCCAAAAGCCAGGCACAGTGCCAAAGCCCTTTAGTCACTGAGTCACTCTGTCTCCTAAGCACAAGTGAATGTGTAAGGTAATAAACAGCATCCCATGACGGCATTTTAATATCTACATTAAGGAGGTTTTTCTCATGCTCTCAAGCTCTATTTGAGAAKTCAGTAATAAATCCTTTATTGCTACTTTTATTTTCTGTTTTTCAGCATTTGCTGAAGTGGGAGGTTATGAGGCTTTCATGCAGAAGTACATGGAAGCAATTCCATCCAACATCTCCTATGGAAACACYGTGGTTGATCCGCAGTGCTACACTCCCCGCAGGGATTCCTTTCACATCTTCAGAGATGCTGTCACGGGAGATCTGCCATGGCCAGGGCTYGTCTTTGGCCTCAGCATCATTGCCATGTGGTACTGGTGCACGGATCAGGTAATGTGGAAGCCAAATGCYTTGGAAAGGCCAAACACAGAACTCTGTGGCCCAATGTGATCTTCCCCTGTAATGCAAAGCTGGTCCACAGAATTGGGTGTTATTTCAAGATTTGTCAGTGAYTTTTCAGTCCCTGGTTTCTGGATGCATCTCACCTGTAAGAAAATGGAACAGGTGTTCTTTCAAATCCTCCTGCACACACCTGTGCCCAGCAGATCCTGTGTCTGCCTCCTTTCTCAAGTTTTGTGTGTGACCATGTGTGAAAACACTGAGGTTGTGCTGTGAACATTTACTTAGGAGACCACACAACAAAAGACCCTTCTTAGACTGGTTSTAGATACCATTCCCCTTTCAGTAAGACAAGATTGTTTCCTGTATGTGCAGCTTTTATCTTTGCCTGCACAATTCTTTGTATGTTTGGTCTTTCAGCCTGGAGACTCTTCCCCAATCATCCTTCCTTRTCTCTAAAACCCACTGTCCAGTTTCCCCAAGAGACCACACTGACATGCTATACCTGCCATGTCTCATTGACAGGTTATTGTTCAAAGATGTCTCTCTGGCAAGAACATGTCCCACGTGAARGCTGGCTGTATCATGTGTGGCTACCTCAAACTCTTGCCCATGTTCATCATAGTGATGCCTGGAATGATCAGCCGGATTTTGTACACAGGTATGAAATGGATACAGAAATGCAAARTTCTTCTTGCTGCCTGCCTTTCATTGCCAATAGCTCTGTCCCTTCTAAAATATCCGTTAGATTGTCATCTTCTCACCCAAACAGTCCAGGCACCTGTATGCACAAAAGCTAACTACACTGTGAGATGCCACAGGTCTTCCTGTTTTCCCTGATCCCAGATATCTGCTAATGCTATTGCTGTCTGTTTTAGAGGAAAGAAATTCCCCAGTGTCCTTCCCCAGCTGTCTGTTTGTTACACACCCACTCTGACTGAATGWGTAAAAATGCAGTCCCGGATGTCCAGGATACTGTGCTGGCAATCAGAGGGAYGGGCCATCAGTCACAGAATGCAGGGTTTGGGCCATGGACAGTCCTGAGGCCAGTGGGGGGAAATGCCACTCTCCTGTCTCTCTGACCAGCAGAGTTTGTCTGTGTTTGGCAGCAGGCAGAGGAGAGAGATTCAGGCTGCAGGGGATGAGTTTTGTGCTCCTCTGCTTGTTTCTCTGCTTGCCCTCCTTCTTATTCCACCCTGGTCTGACAAAAAGTGCTGATTTTCTTTTGACCTGCAGCACTTGTCAGTATTCTTTTAGAGAGGAAAGGAAGGAACGAGGCTTAGAATCACCTTCCTCCCTACCAGCAAACGGAGGATGAAATCAAACATGTCAATCTGGTGGTTCAGCACAGAGATACATTCTAGCAACTCTACTAATTTTGGAGCAATCTGTTGTTTATATGACCTTGTCTCAGTGTCCCTTTWTCCTCTCCTCAGATGTGGTGGCTTGTGTTGTGCCTGAAGTCTGTAAGCGCTACTGTGGCACCGCAGTGGGCTGTACAAATATTGCTTATCCAAAAATGGTAGTGGAGCTTATGCCAAATGGTAAGACCCTGTCTGTATTTGTTGTTTCTTTGTTTTAAGAAAGCTGAAGCTGCCAGACTGTAAAAACAAGTGATAGAGAGGGTCCAATACCCATATTTAGCTCCAAAATTATTGCTAGAATTACGTGCTATTAACCCAAGGGGTTGTCTGTATTAACTGTAGGTGCAGATTAGCTCCACACTGACAGTGTTAGCTCTCAGCTGGCAAATACTGGGTGCTGAAATGGTAAATGAGCTCCCTTTCTGTGGAGGTAAAAAATAACCTGCTTGGCCAATGATTTATAAAAGACACTGTGCCAGGATCTCTGAAATGGAGGCTTGTTCCTGTGGCTCTCCTGCCAGCCCCATGGAGGTGGGTGTTGGCTCATAGAAGCAGGTTGTGATATTATACAGACCATGGCGCTTCCCTGAGAGGTTTGGTACTTCCCCATCACACGATAACTGTTGTTCATAGCATTGTGAAATCCTGCAGTACTTCCCCATGCTCTGTGACCAGACCACATCAYCTGGAAAAGTGTCTTACTCTGGTTTTCAAACAATAAAAGAAACTTGGTTTTTTTTGGCAAACACCTGATTCACAAATATACTACAAGCAAGTAAGCMCTCTCATGCAAATAAGAGGAATTATTTTTATAAACGTTGGGAAAAGTCTACTTAGTATTATTTTCTTTTTATTCCAGGGTTTAATCAGCCAGCATTCACTAAAGAACTACCTATGTGCTAAAAGTTCATGAGTTTCCCTGGCACTGCTGTAAATAGCTTTTCCCAGGCTYTGCTTGCATGGCACGGGAATGTCAGGCAGGATTTGATGTCAGGCACATAAATCTGAGCTGGCTGAGTGGAAGGGGTTGGACATGCCCTGGTGTCAGGTACTGAAGCTCTCATGGAATGCTCATCCCAGTTTCCCTGTCTTTGTGTTTCAGGTCTGMGAGGTCTGATGCTGTCAGTCATGTTGGCCTCCCTTATGAGCTCCTTGACTTCCATTTTTAACAGTGCCAGTACTTTGTTCACCATGGATATTTACACCAAAATTCGGAAGCGGCCATCTGAGAAGGAGCTGATGCTGGCTGGCAGGTGAGTGCAGCTGAGCTTGGTCCCTGGCACTCCCTGCTCCAGGCTTCCTCCTCCCAAAATCGCAGCCTGGAGCCCGCCTGGCAGAGCTGCAGTGGCCTCCTGTGGCCGGAGCTGCTGTCCCGCCCCACACGCTCCTTTTGGGAAAACACGCTCTGCTCCCAGCGTGCATGAAACAGCCAAACYAATTCTCACTGCTTCCCGCTGCTGTTTGAAGGGAAATCTTTAAATGAACTTCCTGGGCTTCGTGCTGCACCAGGCTGCAGCATCAATGAACTTGTTCCACTTGATCTGCTATTGATTTGTCTCTGGACATAACAACCACAGGAAAAAAGTGATTTTCTATGTTTTGATTGCATATTTTACTGTGTGCTGATGGAAATTTGACATTCACCGACTTGAATTTCTTTTGTTTGTTCAGGGCTAATTGGTTATTCAGCCCATTACAATTGATTTCACTAGCTGAAATACAAAATGAACATCTAAATTATTGATTGCTGTTTTTTTTTTTTTCTCTGATAGATCATAGATACTTCTAAGCAGATGGCTAATTGAATATCTGGCTATGTTTACAGGGCATTTATGTTACTTTTAATTGGCATCAGCATTGCCTGGGTTCCYGTGGTGCAGTCAGCTCAGAGTGGGCAGCTCTTTGATTATATTCAGTCAGTAACCAGCTACCTGGGACCTCCCATTGCTGCTGTTTTCCTGCTTGGTGTCTTCTGCAAGCGTGTCAATGAGCAGGTAAGTGCAAATTAGGAAACAGGTATGCTGCATGTTCCTTTAGGAATTGGCAGAACTGCTTTTTTTTGGTTTTGTTTTGTTTATGAGCAACTGCTTCYTGTTTATTTTAATCCCAGTATAACCCAGGGATTCTATGTCTCCATATCCCATTGTCTGAGGTTGCAGAGATGAGTTTGGRAAAGTTCTTTCATAGTCTCATAAACAGTCACCTAAAAATTCATAAATAGCTCTGAGACTTAGGTTATCTATCACTGCCAAGAAGTGTGTTAAATGGATAATCATGAACAYATACTCCAAAGTTATCATTGAGGATATTGGTCACCAAACTGCTTTACCAAACAAATCAACCTCTTACCTATCCTGTCCAGTGGGGTTTTGAATATTCCCAGGGGTAGAGATTCCACAGTGATTCTAGGCAACCTGTTCCAATGCTTAAACACCTTTACAGTAAAACAAAAAAATATGTTTAAACAGAATTTCCCACATTTGAGTTTGTGMCCACACATACCTGTGCATCTGTTATACTTTGGTCTGGAGTACTGTACACCAGGCAGCAAAAACCACAGGACTCMCAGTACTGMGAATTAACTTTTAACTCATTACTCTCAGGGGCCATTAGCAGGTACACCAGGCACACATTTCAGGAAGGATAACGCAATGTTCTGGCTGGTTCCATCGTGCCAGAGTTGTCAGGGATTTAGTGCTTAAAGTAAAAAAGGTGTGAGAACAGCTCCTGGGATGTGCAATCCATGGCTGGAGCCTGTCCTGTAGAAGGGAAGAGTTACGTGGAGCCAGGTGGACTGKGAGAAAGGGGCTGGATGAGATGTCCTGGGCTGTGTCTAACATCAGAGCTGGTCATTGCCCCTTTCAGTTGCACTCATACACGGAGCTGTGAATGAGGTCACTGAAAGGGTCCAGGTTAAAACCCACGTGCCAAAGCCACATAACACGTAACTTCATGTTTCCTTCAGCAACTGCTTGAGAGCTCAGAGTTTATTTCCATGCCTGAAATGACTCATTTTGATCCCTTTTTGTCACATCCTTGTCTGCAGGGTGCCTTCTGGGGCCTGATTGTTGGGCTGCTGGCTGGACTGGGCAGGATGATTGCAGAGTTTGCCTACGGGACTGGCAGCTGTGTGGCCCCTTCCAACTGCCCCTTCATCATCTGTGGCATYCACTACCTTTACTTTGCCATGATCCTCTTTGGGGTTTCTGCCATTGTCATCCTGGCAGTCTCCTTCATGACCAARCCCATTCCTGATGTACATGTGAGTATTATTGCAGTGCTGCTCCTCAAGTAATGCACAAGGAAACCATCAGTTTTAAACCTTAGTACTTGGTGTTTTACCTCTCGACATTTCAGCTACCCCCAGCATACAGCTCTTGTAAGAAAGCAAAGGAAATAGTCTTTACCTGTCACAAATCTTCAGTGACTCSATAGACAGAGCAGACATTTGGGGTGCCATGGTCTCACAGCTGGCTGGGCTGCTGGCCAGGCTGGTTTTTCTCTCTGTAGTCAGACCATGGATCAGTTCAACTCCTTTTGTTCTGTGCAGCTTCAYCGCTTGTGCTGGTCCTTGCGGAACAGCAAAGAAGAACGGATTGATCTCGATGCAGATGAGGAGCAGGACAAAGCTGATGAAAAAGATGATGAATCAGGTAACTGCTGAATACCTACAGATTCTGTCATATATTTGAGAATCCCTATTTCATTCCTGAAGGAACATTAACATGCTTGATATTTAAAGACATTCTCCCTCCCTCCAACAACAAAAACTCAGCCTTCACAAATTTAAATGGCCCATGAGCTGCCTTTAGCAATCTGTCAAGCTCAGTGTAAATCAGATGTGAAGTGGATTTGAAGGGAGGAAATCTTGTTCTCTTGGTAGCTGGGTGGCAGCTCTAGGACTGAACTGATGGCAGTGCTCTGGGTCAGGGGTGCTGTATGTCAGCAGAACTGTGTGACTCCAGCACTCAGAGGGAATTCACCTGGAAATAGGGGGTTGTGAAGGATTGAAGGCACCATGAAAGCAGACTGCAAACCAACCTGCCCTCTTTATTGGGGTTCTGTTTCTGCTTCTAAATTCCTTTTTATCAGTACCCTCAAATTAATTTATTTGTCTTTCAACTAAAAGTGTAGAAAATATTGAAAAAATGGAGTTTAAGCTTTGCAGCAAAGTCTGCTTCTCCACTACCAGGCCAAGACTCAGGGCTGCAAAAGGCCTGAGTGCTTTCTGCATAACYGTCTCTTGAAATATGTAGAAAATCCTCCTTTTTCCCAAGTAAGCTGTGAAAATACAACATTAACTTGATTTCTGTACTGTTTTGTACTAAAATGTTTCTGCTGAACTATGACCATGAATCAGAACAGGAATGTCCTCAGTCCCAGAGATGAAGAGTGTGCCATGATCCATAGTTACCTTTCCTGACCAGAGTGTTATTCCTTCCAGTGAACGAAGCAAATGAGGAGGACCCAGGATGCTGCAGGAAAGCCTACAACTGGTTCTGTGGCTTGGATCAACAGAAAGGCCCCAAACTGAGCAAGGAGGAAGAGGAGGCACTGAAAAAGAAACTGACGGACACGAGTGAAGTACCCCTGTGGAGAAACGTTGTGAATATCAATGGCATCATCCTCTTGACTGTGGCTGTGTTTTGCCATGCCTACTTTGCATAACCCCTTGATCACAGTCCTGAAATGTACTGCATTGCCAAGCAGAAACCATGGCTTGTAGATTTACAGAATTAGATACACACTGTATTTTCATCATCGACATTTGTAAAACATCAGGGTGATTTACTCACTGATTTTGTGATCATAATTTCAACAAACTAAAGATGAAGGACACTGGGATTTCAAGAGAGAGAATTTCTTTTTAGACTTTGAACCAATCCAGAGCTAGCTGAGGTTCAGAATTTCCATCCAATATTCTCTCTACTCGTGATACATTTCATATTTTAGTTTCAGAACAAGGCTGTGTGAGCCATATTTTAAATCAGATTTTGTGAACTGTCTTCTAGGGTTGATGATATTATTTTGATTTTCAGCCCTTTTTCTGATCACTSAATTTTTCTTTTCCTTTGGCAATGATAATTGCAAAAAAGCCACAACCACCAAGGGACTGTATTACAAACTCAAATTAAAACATCACTTATCCCAAACATGGGATATCATAAGTAAAGGATTTATGTATCTACCAATGTTCTTGACACTAAATATAACTTTCCATTCTCACTTCCCCCCCCTTGTGTTTCTCAGTTGCCAGTGGAACACTAACCTCTGAACTGATCACATTTTGAAATTGGGGAACACCCGTTTTGATGATCCTCAAAAGAATTTTACTTACAGTAGATTCTGTTAAAGGTTAACTTCCAAAAGTCCTCCTTTCTTGATATTTTAATAAGTACCTATACTTGAATGTGAAGCTTTTTATACGAAATACATATATTATATATACACAGCCAATACATTATATATATGCACTATATATATATTATATATTTAAAATATATATTTATGTGTGTGTGTGTATATATATTTATTTCTTACTGATCAGTTCTCACCCTGGTGTGTCAAGGACCTCTTTGCTGTGGGGTTGGAGTCCATGTACTGCCTCTCTCTAGGGAACTGTGCTGTAACCAGCCCATGCCATGGTGAAACATCCACAGCACTGCAATGCTGGGCTGCATTTTGCAAATACATTGGAGGGCTCTGTGCTGCTTTTCTGCAAAGCTGTACATCTTTCCTCTGAAGATTTCATTGAGAAATAGGATTCCTGCTGCATGGCAGCATGAGTTAGCAGTTCAGGAAGGAGAATAGTCACAGCTGTGGGATATCAGCTAAACCAGGCTGATTGTCTCCACTTGAYAAGTTTGGTACCAGCTGGGGACACAGGAAAAGACAGATTGAACACTTCAAAGCAAACAGCAATAGATCTTCTTTTCATCTCATTCAGCCTCCTGGGGAATCAAGTATAGAAAGAAGAGGCTGGTTGCTTAGACAAGCAGCAGCACAATTCCCTGTTCCCAGTTGCACACGTTTGTGGGTGCTGTGCTGACCCAAAGCATTCCTGATGGTTCTGCCGTGGGATGCTCCAGACTGACAACAAGTGCAGCTGAAGGGAGAGCAGTGCAACCCCTGCATGTGCCACACCACCCTGCTCTGGCTCCTGGGCTTTATCCACCTGCTCTGTTCCTGGGCTTTACCCACCCTGCTCTGTTCCTGGGCTTTACCCACCCTGCTCTGTTCCTGGGCTTTATCCACTCTGCTCTGGCTCCTGGGCTTTACCCACCTGCTCTGCTCCTGGGCTTTACCCACCCTGCTCTGTTCCTGGGCTTTACCCACCTGCTCTGCTCCTGGGCTTTATCCACTCTGCTCTGTTCCTGGGCTTTACCCACTCTGCTCTGTTCCTGGGCTTTACCCACTCTGCTCTGGCTCCTGGGTTTACCAACCCTTCTCTGTTCCTGGGCTTTACCCACTCTGCTCTGTTCCTGGGCTTTATCCACTCTGCTCTGGCTCCTGGGCTTTACCCACCCTGCTCTGGCTCCTGGGCTTTACCCACTCTCCTTCATAATCTCCTGGCAGGGTCTTTGCTTCATTTGGATCTATCCCCAAATGCTCTGGATTCCAGTAGAATTGCTGCTCTTCAGTATAATCCCTGCAGGGTCTTTAGCATAGGCCAGATCAAATCAATATTTCAGACATACTRGTGCAAACCTTTTTTCCCTTACACTTTATGCAGTGATAGAGTATTTTAAAGACCATGGAATTAACTGTATTTAATGAAYTATGAAGGCTTGTATGTATTAAAGTATTTGTATATTTTGAAGTATTTGATGTCCAYAAAGTGATGGGATTTTTATGTAATATGATGGAAAACAGAGAAACTTCATTTGGTGTCTAGGTTTTGGCTCTGGGTAATAGCTATGGATGCAAAACAAACAAAGAAGATGTCACTGAGGATTGCCCAGATCTCTTTTTGTCATACTTTGCTACAAAAATGTGGTGAAATTATAAAGGTATTTGGACAAAGAAAACACAAGTGATTTCCTGGCAGTCTGAGCAGCCTTTGGATTACCTCCTGGTTAATCAGTCATCGTTGCTTGATTTTGCTCCTCAGAACTACAGATTTTTGAAAATCTAACCCACAGTTTCCCAGGGATATTCACTGTTTGTCCTAAGCAACTTGACTTCCTTGTGGTCTGAAAGTGGACATTGTGGAGGGAAAAGCTCAACTGTTTACATAAAATTTGACAGCTGCTGTTGACTCCTCTAATTTTGTTGAATTTCAAAGAAAAAATGCCTGATATTGTGAACAGCTGATAAAATTGTACTGTTTAGCTAACATTAAATGCCAGCTCAGGTTGGTAGCTATTGCATTCAAGGACAGTTTCATGATTTTAAGGAAGAAAATGATTTTTCTTCAGTTCTCAGGGGAGCTGTGTCCATAAGCTGTTATTGGGGACAGTCAGATAACAGCAGTGTCTTCCACTGTCCTGGGCATTCTCATGCTGTAGAGATGGGAACTGTGAGCACAACTGTTCCTCATCTTTGACTGTACATTTGAAATATTCCTGCTTCGTGCTGAGACTCCAAATAAATCTCTGTCTCACAGCACAAATCACCTGTGTGGCATGTCCAGCATAACACAGTTCTGTTTCAGGGGATCTTGAGACATCCCAGCTTATCCTGCCAGGGTTAAAGCTTGTTTTAATGGACTTTAGTTAGATATACAGAATTATTTCAAGCGAATAAAATATGCACTTTGCAGCATTGTCAGCCAATTGTGGCATTGTTCTGTGAAGAACACAYACTAAAAATCTTCCATTTAAGAATTATTACATAGTTCTTAGGGAAAAATCCTGAAAAAGGGTAATCACCATTCATTTATGTTTTAATTTTGCTGTATCACCCACAAAAGTGTATTCAAGTATCTCACAAATGTTAAGCCTTAATGATGATGAGAACACTCTGTTCTTAGARCTCAGAATTTGGGTTTATTCCTATTTTATTGAAAAAGCTCATGTACTGRAATGCCAGGGGAGGGAAGGTCTGTGGAATAAATCTGCAGTCACCATGGTTTGGTTTTCCCCAGGCTGGCTGGGACATGGCACAAGGCTGAGCTCCTCACTTGCAGCAGATCATGGCAATTGGAGCCCCAGCAGAAGCTGGGATTTATGAGGAGCCTTCCTTACCTGGAATAACTTCAATAAMCAGTGCCTGAGGTTATTGTCCTTATCATCAATGAAACAGGGTACCTTTTTTTGTGCCTCCTGAAYAACATTCCATCTTATCATCTATTGTGGGGAACTGTGAGAAAAAATAAATCCCCTTGAGCTCCTGAGCCCAACCTCTCCTCACCTGGCAGAGCTGAGGCCAGAGCAGCTCTGCCTGCCTGGATCAGCACTCCCCCTACTTTTCTTAAGGTACCTGGAAGAGCTTCAACCTGAGGTATGTGTAAGTTTGTTATCACTCTGTATAGTAGTTTGTTGTTTTTTTTTTGTTTTTTTTTGTTTTGTTTTGTTTTGTTTTGTTTTTTTTTACAGAATTGGAGCCTTTAAGTTTAAAATTGTAGCTTATATGCAAAGTCTCCTAAAAGAAATTATTAAAATGGGTTGTATTCATTCAAATTGCAAATTTTGTCTTGCTAAAAATAGGTCCTGTGCTTTGAGCCTATTAACTTTGTATGTAGCTCTGTGTGTCTCTGCCCTTCTGGTTTAATGTAATTAGCCAAATCTGACTTTCCCAGACTATTTTGTCCTTAGACAAATCTCTCACTATGTAATTTAATTTTTTTTTTTTTAATAGAAAATGTAGTGGTGGGAAACAAATATATGCCCTGCTTCGGAACATGAAGAGATGGAATTAAAAGCTGCCATTTTCCAGAGCAGGACAGAATGGTTTCCAACCCTTGGCCTTCTGAAAGGATACAGGGACAGTGGAAATGGTGTGTAGTCACCAGGACAAAGAGCTGTAACATTCTTACCCTTCTGGAAAMTGTTAGAAAAGCTTCAACATGAGCTCTGCCTGGTGGGACACARGGCTCCAGGGGGARGTCTTGTTTTCCATGGATGCAGCTSTCATGTCTTCTGGTGYTGCTGAAGACWGTTGGGCAACTGGTTTGAAAACTCTATCTGTGYAGAGTGTAACTGCATTAATTCCAGTATTGACCCACCACCACATTAATTATATCGGGGCATTAATAACTGTTGGCTTCAAGCTAAAGGGGCAAATTGCTTTCATTGATGTTAAGAATCTGCCTTGATGCTRAAACTATTGGAGCATAGAGTGTTGGGAGTGCACAGTGCTAAAACCAAAGAGGTGCTGTACACACAGCATTTCCTTYGAAACAGTGAGCTTAATTAGAATGTGTAAGGTGCCAGATCCTCAGATGTTAATTTAAGTATTTATAAYGTGTATGAAGCAATTCAAAAAGACCTTCAGCATTTTTGTAACCAAGTCTGTGGCAGCTTTATTATGGAGTAATCTCGACTGAAAGCTAACTCATCCAGGGGAAGTGTTCATCAGCTGTTTCTTTGGTYCAACCAATTGTTTAACTGACACTTCCTGTTAATTAATTCCCAGCCTCACAAGTTGTGGACTCTTGTCTATCATCCCAGTGCAGGGAATTAATCTTCAGCAGAGCATGTGACTTTTGATTATTGTATCTGCAACCTTTTTGTCAATAATGCAGCTTGTTAAGTAGAAAACCCCAGCTAAGAGTGATTCGTGGCTGTTGTGTACACAGACATTAAATTCTGGTGTTTGCCTGGGCAGCACGTGGTCAATACAGCCCAAGGGAGTTCCTGTCATGGTTGGAGTGTGATGGTTTCGTGTTGTCAGGTGTAACAGTGCCAAAGAATTGCTGAGACAAAAGCTGACRTGTGGGAGGGCACCACTATCTCAGAGTTCACCTGAGGCTTTGTTCCATTTCTGTACTCTCTGTGTAAGAGAGAGTGAGAACACTGATCCATGTAGATGCTTTTTTGGGGACAATTAATATTGTCCTGAAAGCACTGACCAGCCAGATACTTGGAATGCAGTACTTAAGGTTCAARTCAGCTGTTTTCTTTTCTACTCAGAGCAGTTTTAGTGTAGATGGTCTTATTTCTACAACTGACCAAGCTAATTATTCTGGGAACTCATTGAATGGCAATACCTGATTTACTGGGGAAGGCTGTGAAGGTTGGAACTGGGCTAAAAGGATGATTGTTACCAGATTTTCCTGCAGCAGTTCTGTAAGAGCAGCTGACCCTACACTGTGCTCTCCAGTCCTTTAGCACATTATTAAAGCTGCCTGGCTTCTCTTATTGAGTTGGATGCACTCTGGCACCAATATGTATTACACACGAGTGCCTTATGTGTTTAAAAGGCAGAGTTCCTCCAAGATCCTGCCCAGAGGGAATGTATCCAACTGACTCAATACTTTTAAATCACATCTTTATAGGAGGAGAAATTTACCCTTTGGTAACATTATGGAAGAGAAACATTTTAACTGTAATCACTGCTACAGGAAGAGTTTATACTGTGTGTGAGGGTAATGCAGTTTGCAGTGAGTTTGAATGGAAAAGCAGCCCTGAYAACCCTTTTATAGACCTGATGCAGCTTCTTTGTAGCTGCAATTCCAGGTATAAAACTCCCATGTGAGAACAAAACCCAAGTGAAAACAAATGGGATTGCTGTGAAGCTGAAATGGGTCTTGCTGTGAAGCTGCATCAGCTGCYCTGTCACATCTTCCTTGGTGCCTGGTAAGTGTTTGGTTATATTTTCGACTGGGAAAGTGTTAGAATTCTCTCACGAAGTCCTTCTATGACATCACTATGACTTTTTAGGTTGATACTCTAAATGATCTTAATCCACATTCAACAAATATTTGCAGCAAAATTCATGTAAATTCCTGTCGTTAGATCAATTTGTCAGTACAGACAAGACTGCTGGAGGGGTTAATWATGAACCTTTGTAATATAATTAATTATTGATTAATGTTTGATAGGCTGAGGTTTAAAAAGAAAGAGGAGACAATGTTATGAACAAAACAAAAAGGGTTGATGTCTTGTGTCATAGAAAAATCTTGGTAACTTCAAAAATGACACCTATTGGAGAGCTCCAGACTTCCTAACTYTTCTTCTTTATTATTCTGCTTGTGACCTGCAATAGAGATGTGAAACTGTTGGCAAATTACKTTTCAGGAGGAACTGATCCAGAGTGAATGAGGGAGAGAGGTTTTGGCATTGAAGATCTCATGTAATCCTGTACCTTTTACAGGCAGACAACAACAGAGGGCAATAGATCTCTAGAAAAGATCGCGGCTGCTGAAGGGTTTCCAGTCGATGACTGTGATGGCGATTTGGGCAGCTCTTTGCACGGCCTCCCTGTGATCATTCAGACACTCCACAAAGGTGTCCCTGTGCTCCAGCAGTGTCTCACGGCCCTCTGGCAGCTCAGCCAGCAGGGTGAGGGTTTTGATTGCATTCAGACGGGCTTTGCTGGTTTCCTCAGCAACCAGCTTCAGTAAAGGTGGAATGGCTTCAGCACCCATGGCCGAGGATCTCCCTGTAGGAGAGAAACTGCCTTTGAAATGTGTTATGACATCAATCAACATCCTCTGGACTGATGCTTCCCACTCCCTGCACAGCTACAGCTCTGAACAGCCCTGGGGGTGCAATGCACAGAGGCAAGACGGGTTCTTCTCTTGGTTGGCTCTCAGCTATTTATTTTAAAGGAAAAGGTTCTTTCAGAGTGAACTTTATCTGCTTTGCACACTAGTATTTCATTTACAACAAATTATCTAAGAATATGCAAGAGGTACCAAATGACAGAATAAACTGTTTTTTAGATGGGGGTGGGGGAGAATGGGGTGTGTTAGATGCTCTCAAGAGCATCCTCCAGTCTTTTAAAAGACATTTCAAACACCCAGATCCTCTCCGAGTTGACTTTGATGCCCGAGGAAGGTTTGCCGAGGAGAACTGGAACACAACTGCTGTTCTAAGAATTTTTTACATCTAATTACTCATTCATCACACTGGAAATTTAGCAGTTAGTATTTTCAGTGTCCTGTAAGTTACTTGGGAGAGCTACAGACCTTATTAATATTCATTGCTCTCCCAGCTGTGAGAAAGAAGCTGCCTCTAATCCCGGAATGCTTCCAGAAAGCAGCGCTCTTCTGATGAGCATAGCTCCAGGTACCTGGATCTTTGCGTGGTCTGCACTTGAATGGAAAATGTTCCCCCTCTGGAGCAGCCCTCTGGAGGGAAATGGTGCAGGTGAGGTAGATAAATAACTTCTTTACCTACTTCAGGAGAATGAAATGTGAAATATCCTGTCCCCCCTAGRCACTGTAAGGAAGCAACAATAGATGTTCAACTCAAGAAGAAAGAAATATAAAGAAATATCCTAATCTTTGAGTTTCTTGATGAGCATTAACACTGTCAGAAACTGAGGACTTGGGAAGTAGTGAGGACAAATATTTTGTTATTGAGTTGCATAGCTGTCTCTGTCTCTCACCCTGAGGTGTAACAATAGCAAACATCAGTGCTCCTGCTGCGTTCACTTGGACTTCAGGATGTGTGTCCTCCAGCAGGCTCACCAGCACCGGGATCACCTCTTCGTCACACACCGCAATCTTCCCCTCTGCATGAGAACTGGGTAGAAAAGGCTCTTTAGCTGCTTCCTTGAACTGTGTGTGCTGCCCGTGCATTAGGTAATTTGTAGGTGATATCTGGATTTTTAAAAAGCTTCCTATGGTGCACTGGACAAAATGTGCAGCTGCATGTAACAGGRTGTAGGATTAAGGATGTTGCTGGTCCTAATTGCAGTGAAGTTATAAACCTGGCTGTTGAAACCTATAGGGATTTTCAAACCTCTTAACTCAGGGGTTGGGATGAATTCTTCTCCCAGGTCACTTTTCTCTCTTCCTTTCCAGCCTCTCTGATGAGGAGAGTATTTAATGTGGCCCAGCTATTGTAGGGACCTACAATGTAGACTGTATTTCAGTTGCATTTTGCTTTCTTTCTATGACTCATGTTAGTTATATTCCCTTTTCCTCTAAGATCTCACTTTATTATAGGACATGAGGAAATGTTTTCTGCCAGWTGATATGTAAACTACATCATCTGCAGACTTTTTTAAACTAGACTTCTGTTGAACACTTCTATTATATTTTCTGACTGAAGGACAGTGGACTTAAGCTGTTCCTTTCATCTATTCTCTGATACAAAAATTTAATATAAAGATTGCTTTCTCTGATCCATCACTGACGTATGTGGCAGCCTGTGTCAGAAAACTATTTCTGTCTTCAATCACAGTGGAAGTTTCCCAGGACCTTTCATTTTCTGAGAGAGAGCAGTTTTCCAAAAACATTAGGGAGATTCTCCCTCCATAGTGGTCACAATCCTCTTTCTACAAGATTTTTCATGCAAGATTTTTTTCCTAGCAATGCTGTACCAGGAAAAAAATCCTGATTCCACTGCCAATACTGAAAACAAACAGAAGGAGAAGGAATGACTGAGCAGCATCTGCTTTCTTCAGTGATTTATAGCAGTTAGGAATTTTTGAAGTCCCACGTGTCCTTTTTTTTTTTTTTTTTTTTTTTTTTTTTTTTTTTTACCGATGTGTGCATTCAGGCTGATAGTGCTTTACATGTGAAATGTGGCAGCTTCAGTGTGTAGGGGAACACAGTTGTAAATGAATGGCATTTATTTATTCCTCAAATTAGTCCTTGCTTGGGCTTAWGCATTTGAGAGGTTTCCTTACCTGATTTCTAACAGGACCCAGGCTGCTTTGCTCCTGATGGCTGTGGATTCGTGGGAGAGCTTTTCCTTCAGGACAGCAACGGCTCCAGCTGCCAGCGCTTCAGAAACCTCCACACGGAGACAGTTGGAGAGTGTGTCAAGGATCAGCTCCTGGATCTCATCCAGCTCTGTCTTCAGCTTCAGGACCAGTGGGGGAATCAACCCGGCCTCCAGGACACCACCAGCCCCTGAGAGGAGACAGGAMAGGAATGTGGCTGAGGGCTGAGTGCAGTTACTATTGCTACCTGCATTTGGAATTTCTTCAGAGGATCAAACTCATTTCCCTTACACAGCAGTGGGATCAAGAGATGGAAACGATTCCAACAGTTCCCTGTTCATAAATGTCATCTTAGCATTGCTTCCTCAGGAAGCTTCCCCACCACTCCTGTAAAGAAATCAAGACCAGGTAATAACCAACATGACAATTGCTCTAATATTCCCAGCTTCTCCCACTATAATATTTATCCCAAAATTATCCTTGCAAAGAAAATACAGCAAATGTACATACATTACAAAGTCCCCTTCTATCCAGCCTTTCTAACTGTTCTCAGCATGAACAGATCCTAAGAGAGGTAGAGATGTGAGCCTTTAGAGCTCAGTCTTTGATTCTCCACTGTGGTTTCTGGGGGGAGGAAGTCAGGATTTTGGGAACTGTYGGCTTCCTCTTTGTAGTAGTTCTGTCATGGCAAAATTTAAATTCTGAACTTTCCAGCAGTCAGTACTCTTGCACTATCTCCTAAAATATAACATCAAAGGCAGACACATCATAATTTGCCCTGCAAGTGATGTCTTTGCTATGAGCAAGAGTCTGATTTGTACCACTTCTTACCCTTTACTAAGTCAACACTGCAACAGCAATGCCAGGGGAAAGCAGAACGTACTGTCCACGAGTAACTATGTGAAAACAAAATTCTCCAGCTCTCTTGTTGCTAAGACTGATTCTTTGGTTGCTAAGAGAAATGTGGCTCCTTTCAAAGTGATTCATAAATGGATAGATAAGGAAGTTTTGTGGATAAGAGTCATCAAGGTATTTTCAAATGAATCTCCACATTAGAGACAAGCGGGAAAGAGATTTTAATGTCCCTTCCTAGTGCACAGGAAAAATCCCTCAACCTGGCAATTGGGTGAAAAACATTATAATATWGAGATTATTCTGTTGTACGTATTTCTGAGGTTTTGCTAACACTGAATAAGTTCTTAWCTTACTGACTTATTAGGACCCACATTACAATGCCAAAACAAAGAAATGCTTTGGGTGATACTATCACAGCTTTACTATCTGCGCTCCATTTGGAGGTCTGTTTCTGTGAGAATCCTAATAAATAATATCCAGTTTCAGACAATTCACTTTGAAGGCTAGCAGCATTTTACAAACAAGGATTTCTCCTTGTGYCAGAAAGGCAAAGCAGGAAAGGAAAGTGAAATAATGTTCTTTGAAGCTGTGGCTCTGTGTGCCACTGCATGGGGGTTTTGGAGTTTCACAGTGAAAAGAACCCAAACAASCCTATATTGTTCCTGGGAGAAACAAAAGAAATTTGCCAAAGAGCAACTCCAGCCCATTTATACCATCCCTGCAGAAGGATGGGATAAAGGACACCTGCACTATTGTTGTGGGAAAGGACTCTGTTGGAGGGACCCTGAGGAGGCCCAGCTCCTCCATCACCAGCATCAACTCTCTTGGCAAAGATTGCTGGGGTTTGGATTGCAGGTTACAGGTATAGAAGGGTTTTGGTAGGTTAGGCAACAGTGGGAATATGTCTGGGAATTCTCCATGCCTTGTGAAATGCCTGGCAATAGGGAACCCACTAGTGAATTGCTACCAAGGAAGCAGATTAAAGCAGTCTCTGATGACTGTCAATCATATCCAGAATTCCTTTAACCACACTTCCCAACAGTCTTTTGAAACCCCCTGTGAAAGACAAGATGTTTCAAAGACAACTTCTAAAACTCTTCACAAAGTTTTCTTGAAAAGAAACTCCATGGCCTGARTGCATGAAATTGGGATCCCCAGACTGCTCACGCAGTCACCATGTGCACTTCTATGTTCTGGGTTGCTCTGAAAATCAGTATAAAATCCCAATTTGGGAGGTACAGCTTCAGGGGAAGAATAGTGAATCGGAGGTGACAGACTGAAGCTCACACTGCCTGTCACAAGCACCTGTGAGCACCTTTAACTCAATGGATCCCACTGTTCCTTGGGACAGTGGCACTCCATAAGCTCTGCTCCTTAAGCAAACTTCGTAGCACAGAGCAGACATACTCTGGCTTAAGCCCAGAGAATCCACTGCCTGATTTAACTTAACTTTCCATCTGTCTGTAACAACTGCTGCAGCAGCATTCCCTCTACCTGCGAGGAGATATACTTTGTTCTTTTGTATTTTTTGTACTTGCTTTCAAATACTTAATAGTCATTTTTTAACCATTCACCTTCATTTTCATTTTTACTTTCCTGCAATTCTCTCCTTTTTGGGACTTCCTTGCTAAATTCTCTCAATTCTCTTGATCAYTTTATCATCATACAGCCAGGAAGTACTATCAGCATTCAGGTTTCACTCCTTTGTGTCTGTGTGTTTCAGTTATCTTTAATATATTCCACCAATACATTCACCCAGCCAGAGCTGCTTTCACCGGCCCTTGGCTTTATTCCTTCCAGTTAAAGTTTATTGACTTTCTCTGCCTCAGTCATCCCTCATTCATTGCATTTGCACTTCATATCTTCTTTGGTGCTGGCCTTTACGGTTGCACTGCTGTCCCGAGTGTGAAACACAACAAAGCCACTTTGTGTCTGTGTCCATAAGCTGCTAATGTACAGGGCTGTCTAGAACAGCTTTGATTTTGTGCAGGCATTAAGCTGTATTTATTCTGGGGCTACTGGTACTTACTTTGTCTGAACACTTGGGATGCTCTTATCTATAAAAAAAAATCTTTATGTTTTACCAGGCCAGGTCTCTGTACCAGGACCTTTCTTGTCCATTGTGTTTTTTGAAGCTGTCCAAGTTGAAATGCTGTTGTGCTACTTGARGGAGCTTCCCAGATATAAATATAGAAACAAAGATGAATTGTTTGACCTTGTCATAAGTTTCAATGTGGTGAAGAGAAAGAGGGTGGAGAGGAAAGGCCATCAACAACAACAAAAAGAGACTACCTAACATTGAGACTGAAATTTCCACRTGGAAATTCGTCATGGTTTTCCCAGGGGAACCACAAGGTGAAAGGTCTAGGGAGGGAAAAGGGAGGAGGCAAAATTAGTGGCAAGTTGTTTGGGAGTAAATTGTAAATTAGAGCAGTCTCAGATCCTTGGATTTTAGCGAGCAATAGGAAGGGAAGGTAAGCTGGGGTTTTGAGTAGTTCTGTACTGAAAAATACAGTGGCATCCTCAGGATATCGGCTTTTCATTCAAGCACTGCTCTTTCAAAGGGGATTTATGTATTGCAGAGTGTTCTAGATACCCTGGGCTCAGTGAAGTAGTTGAGAAAAATGTTTTCAAAATGCGAATAGTTGCATTTGCAGCTGYATAGTTAACGTCATTATTGATCTGTTTTTCTGAGAACTTGTAATCTTCCTTTGGGCTGCTTTTTATCTGAGCACTCATCTCTTCCTTCTCATAACCCTCTGGCYACTCTCATCCTCCCTTTCCTGAGTTATTTTTTCAAATAGGCCCAAAGAGGAGTTGCCACTTATTCTGTTCTCTCAGTATGGCTGCAGGACATGTAAACAAGTTAAATTTTTGAGAAGACAAAGAAGTCATTTATGGTACATAACAGTGGCGTTTTGTTTTGGTTTTCAATTACATAAATCAATTAAATCACATTACAAATCCTTTTCCTTAAAAACGCTGGTTTTCAGCTCAAAATGTTTGTTTTGGTCTGAAGCATGTGCCTTATGCATGGCCACAATGTGATGATTGGTGTAACAGAACATAGAAAAATAATGCAGAAACACAGGTTCTGTAGAATGTGAATCTTTGTTGGCACCTTGGATGTCTCTCTGCRATGGTCACACAAGTATTTGAAATGCTCAGTAAAGGCATTTGTGCTTAGGAAGGGGCACACCAGGAAAAGCAAAGCAGAGCCAGCCACCATGGGAAGGGAAACTGCTGAGCATCRCACCCGGCTGTGACAGCCCTAGCAGGAGCTCACTGACAGAGGAGCCAAACAATCCCGACAAAATTCCTAGACCAGCAGATCTCTTGTTCACCCTGCAATAGTTTATCACCATTTTAGAAGGAATAAAGGGGTTATTAACCTTGTGAGTGCCATCATGGATCATAGACATTGGCAAACACAGTGCTCAAGTGATGTTTCCTTTGTGACAGGAGTGATCTCTKGAGTGACAGGGTGAGTGCAGGAGATGCTGCCCCTGCACACCTTCCTTAATGACTCCTTGCTCTCTACTGTTTAAATGGAAAAAAAATTAATTTATTCTGGGAAGATCTCTGAGTCACCTGTCACAAGAGCACAGTTTGAGAACCTTGTAGTAGCTAATTTAATGTTAAGATTCAGGATTTTAATTCTCGGTGCTTCCAGCATTATGGCTGTGTCAGGGAGTAGATTAAATATAATACTATAAATACTACAAAACTGGGCTGAACTTTCTGGTGAGTTTGGAACAGGAGGCAAACCACATTAAATGAACTACAGCTCACCTGCCTATRCCCCATCAGCTTCACCAAACCTTCTACCTGAAGTGGAAAATTCTGTTGACATCTTTGAAATTCAGAATATTTTCCTCTTCTTTGCAAGAAAAAATCTCTGTCTTTCCGTGACAATTTAACAGGAACAAACAGTAGTGTCCCAAAGGATGCCTGTGCCTAGAGACAGAGGGTGTCTCTTATCTGAAAGGACTGAGGGGTGGGAAGTTTGTGTTTATATGAACTGAAGAGCTACTGGGATATCAAGAGAACCGAGRAAAACACTGCAGAGATTGGATCGGACTAGAAATAGTAAACAATTCTGTATCAAACCATTTGAAATGTGAGCATGGGCTGGATGCATTTATCTTATGAGAACCCTAGGGATTTACCAGATATAAAATCACAACCTCAACAGTAGTGTCTGTCAGATCCTCATTAAAAATACAAAAGCTTTATAAAACTTTATAAGCTTTATTAAAGCATTATGTGATCTGCTTTTGAAGCYACTGAGAATTTTTCCAATACTCAGGATTTTGGGCTGCTGTCTGAATGAAA